CCCATAGGCCCTTTGCAGTAATCAATGACCTCCCAAGGATCCTATAGACATATCTCATAAACTCTCTGTGAAACAATGGAGCCTCTAAATGGCACTAACCATATAGGAACATTTAATAGGGCTTCTCTTAAAAAGATTCAAAGTGTGCCTTTTGTCTAATCCTATATAATAATCCTATATAATAAAGAGGTAATATGCAAATTGACCATCACTCCAAAACACAAGATGGACGCCCCCATGTGATCAAAGATGGCCATCCCATGTGGACACAAGATGGCCATCACAAGATGGCTGGCAGGGGAGCACAGTTGTGGGTGATCAGGCCAGCAGAGGAGGGCAGTTGAGAGGGACCACACCAGCAGGGGAGGATAGTAGGAGGTGACCAGCCCTGAAGGGGGAGGTTAGTTGGGGGGACCAGGGCTACAGGGGAGAGTAGTTAGGGGCAACCAGGCCTGCAAAGGAGAGCAGTTAGGGGTTTCCTGGCCTGCAGGGGAGGGAAGTTAGGGGCAACCAGGCCTGCAGGGGAGGGCAGTTAGAGGCAATCAGGCTGGCAGGGGAGTGGTTAGGGCAATCAGGCAGGCAGGCAGGTAAGTGGCTGGGAGCCAGCTGTCCTGGATTGTGAGAGGGTCCCAGATTGGAGAGGGTGCAGGCTGGTCTGAGGACACACACACACACACATACACACACACACACACCCTGCTTGCATGAATTTCATGCACCGGGCTTCTAGTAAAACATAATGCAAAGTGATGCATGAAGAGCCCAAAACTTTCTTGAACAAATTAACCAAGCCTTGAGTACAAAGGACAGATAGTGAAAAATAAAGAGCCTGTGTTTTGTGCAATTTGATAGAAAACATCCATGTGAAGGAAGACTATTCAACTGTGAACACAGGCCATATTTTATGGTGGAGATGAAGGGAGGTGACTCATTGGGAATAACCAAGAGATCAGAGGACATACCCCAAAACAACAGAGAATTACTCCCAAGTAGCAGTCCAGGGCCTTTTCCAAAGAACTGGCGACTTACGCGTGGTTATTAGAGAACAATATGTTATACAAAAGAAACAGGACAAAGACTGTCCGAAAGTGAATATAATTTAAGAAACCAAATTATGTCTTCTGTACTTCACCCTAGTATAAAAACAAGGTGAATTATAACACAGGATTTAAAAAAAAACAAACAGGTGATTTCAAAACAACTGGAATTCAAAGGAAAATGAAGATAATGGATATATTTAGTAGCTATTTTGATACCCTCATTCTACATTTTGCACAGCATTTTATCGAACTGTTTGTGTTTTTCTTATTTGTCTGTAGGAGTTCTTCATATATTTTTTCATATGAGCCACTTGTTGGATATATATATTAGAAATACTTTATCTTAGTTGGTGGGTTACCTTTTACTCTACTAATGATGTATTTTGATGAACTGAGGTTTCTAATTTTTATTTTGCACAGTTTACCATATTTTTATACTTAATGCTTTTTGCCATTTTAAGCAATATTTTTATACTTTTAAGTTTATGAAGATATATTTCCTTTCAAAATATTTTCAAATTGACTGTTTGAATATAAATTCAAATTGAAACTAAGATTAATGTACTGTGTCTATATGTGATAGTCTCAGCAACATTTAATAGAGAGAACATCCTTCCATAATTTCTTTACAGTGCTTTTTGGCATAAATTAAATGACCATGTGGTGTGGGTTTGTTTCTGGACTGTAAATTCCATTTCCCAACTTTCTCATCTAATGTGAGACCTGAATAAGAGCTCAACTTGGAGTATATTAGGAGATTCCATCTTCCTGAGAAGAAAAGAATATAACATCATAAAGTGCTAAAATATATTTTTCTCTCAAAATCTTTCCCCTTTTGGTTTCAGAAATGGGGATTCATAAGTAGACAATGAAGAAGGGCCCTCTTGTTTTCACTCAAGATTTTGCCCCATTTGTCCAGTTACTCACTTGGATTTCCTTATTTAAACTTTTTTGGAGCTTGACTTCTCAGAATCATGTAAAATATCATTGCCATTTTAAGTGATGAGAAATCCACAATTCATAGAACATTAGCAACTTGCTCAAAATTACATTGTTGGTATTTGAGGAAGTCTGGTCAAATTTATTGGTTTAAACAACTGTGCTTTACTGCCATCTTGTGGGCAAAGATTGTGGTTGCAGCTGGGCTTTCAAAAGTGCCTCTAGCAGCCGAAAGAGTCTTACAAATCATACTAAGATGCAATTTAGCCTAGACTTTAGAAGGCATTAGAGGAAGACGTGACTACCATTGTCCCTTGGTTTCAGTAGGCAATTGACTCCAGGACCCCCTGCTGACACCAAAATCCACAGATACTCAAGTCCCTTATAAGAAATGTCAGTATTTGCATATAATCTACAGATATACAAATACAGTAAAATGACATAAATAAATTAAATAAGAATTTCAAAGCATTCTATTTCAGATCACAGTGAATGTTAGAGCCCACAAATCCACTTTACATTCCTGCCAGAACCAGCCAAATTACTTACAATGTTGGATCAGCATGAAGAACAATAATGAGAAGAGTACTGGGAAAGATTTGGCCATTTTTCCTCCTGGTGTGCTCTTAAAATGATGCTCTCAGATGTCTCAGGATATTGTCCTTTACTGCAATCACCAAAGTAGAAATAATTAGAATGCCAGCTTCGAATTGAATACCCATCTGTAGTCTGCCCATTGTAAGTTCTGCATATGGCACCTGGAATGCCTAAGTCCCCAAGAACAAATGCCCAGGAAAAATTAAACCTTGGATAGTCATAAACAAAAGTATAGACCTCAGTGACAGATATGTGACTACTCAGAAGACAGAAGATAGTCAGCAATAAATATTTGAACATAATTGAATTATTTTAGCATGGAGGCATTTTCAAGTGTCTTGAAAAGTCATCTTCTTATCTCAAGACTCATTCAATTGTTTTTTCTTAAGAAGCTACAGAGAAAATGATGAGGCCACTAGAGGCTTCTAGTCAAAAACGTCTCAACAGAGGAAGCGTGTCTGTACTTATTCAGGAATCAGAGACTATACCGGATTAAGATAAAGATTACTAATATTTCAGGCATCATTGGTTATGCTAAAAATCTTCTGACTGGGAATGCTAGAGTATCTTGAAGCATTCTTGGAGAGTCCACAGGGATAAAAATCATTACCTGCCATCTCATGGGGGCCCCAAAGCTATTTTTATCCAGACACAGAAAGGGACAAATCAGTGAGCAAATTCTTCGGGGGGGGGGGGGCTGCCTTTCTATAGCAGCAGCCTTTCCAACCCTAGAGGGTGGTGCATATAGGTACCAGAGCTTGATCAAGGGCCATATTGAACTGTCCCCATTTTTCTAACCCTGCAAAAGTGTCTGGTCCTCCCTATGCCCTTTAGGCCTTTTTTCTTCTTCTTCTTCTTTTTTTTTTTTTTCTATTCTAAAGCATATGTCAATAGGAAAATGCACATAAACTCTTTGCTGCTATGCTGTGGTGAGACATGAAAGGTCTCCTCAATACTCCACAGCCCAGAATGGTTGGATGTGCCTGTTCCTGATAGCATCTGGGACACTGTCTTTTTAAGTACTCCCCATCTCTTCCTCAGGCCTTCCCTGGATTCCTGCAGGAACGAAGCAGAAACAGTGGAAGATCCAACTGTACGAATGCACAATGCCAGATGCTCACTTGTCCTCAGCATATGGCCTAGTTGACCCACCTTAGAAAGAAAAGGAAGGAAGATGTGACCAGCTTTTATGGCTGGTAACTCATTTAAGGAGTACGTGTTAGGGCCTCAGGAGGGGATAGAGTAGCTGTGTGGAAGGAAGGCACTGAGGCGTTGTGTGCTAGGCTGAGCAGACCTTGGGAGGTCCAACATTCAGAGCCATCAACATCAAACCTCAGCAGGGGGCATTGGTAAAGAAAGCATGAAGCTGTCTGGAAGACTTGGGGGGTAGGCTGAATAGCCTTTGGCAGGTATTCCAAAGATCCAAAGAGGCAACAGCATGAGGAAACAGTATGAAATAACACAGTAGAAAGAGCATATCATGTTCCACAATGCTAATGAATACCTTCTGCCAGAAGGCAAAACAAACATGAAAGCAGCTGAGGAACAGAGGGGGTTGCAGCGATGGATGAGGTGATGGATGTCCTTGGCAGTGGGTCCAGCTTTATTCCTCTATCAGTCCAGTATCTTTGCAGTTGTGCAACAGGGAAGAGATATTATCATACCTGAGTTTCTTCCTGTTACCTGAACTTTCTGCCTCTATATTCTTTTTTGTAAAGAACAATTGTTCTTATATCAAGGAGTAAATGTTAACATTAGAAAATAGGGGGGAAAAATGAAGATGTGAAATCTTAAAACCCCAAAATAACTATTAAGTATATATTGAATGATACCATTCCAGTTCAATGTGTTTCTTGATCAAGCTCTGGAATCTAAATGCATAATTCTCTAGGATTGGAAAGGCTGCTATAGGGAAGACAATACCACACTCATGAGCACATGTACATGTTCCTGTTGTCATATTCAACCACATTTTTGTAGTATATATTGTTTTCTGCTTTTTTCACTTAGAAATGTACGGTGACATTTTCTTGATATTTTGCAGATGCCCATACATGACTCAGTTCCCTTTAAATGGTGGTGCCTAAAGTAATGTTACTCCTAGTCTGTTCTGATTAGTTTAGGTATTGTGTGTTCTCACTCTATCTTTCTCCAAACCTGAATTTTCCACTTTTCACTGGTGTAGCAAAAGATGATATAAGACTATGGTCAGATCCACCCTTTGACACATTTACTTCTGAGTTGTTTTAAAATGAGATGCCATGAGCATATTCCTTATTCACAAGCAAGTCTATAACCTCTCTCATTCCCAGTTTTAGTAGGAATAGAAGAAATATTTTCATGTGATTTATAGTTCAGGAAAACAACCACAGGTACTCTCCTCAAGGCAAGAATCACATACATGGAGACAAGCCAGACAGTTTTCTGCTGAGATTCTTTTATTGAAGAATTAAATTCATATATTTGCCCCCACAGCATCCCAGGAAAAGGGTCTCTGTGTGGAATCTGCTAAGGGAAACTTGCTGAGCTTGAGCATCAGGGAGACTCGCATGATCCAAATTTTCTCAAATAAAGTTCACCACGGCTCTTCCTAAAAAGAAATCATTTCTTAAAAGAAAGGTTTTGGAAATCTTAAATTTAAAGTTTCATGTTTTTAGATCAATCCAGTCAAATGAGTACACAGCATGAAAGATGAGCAATTAGCCACTAAGCTTAAGCAGGGTGAACTAAAAAATATTCAATGTGCTAGTAAAAACCAGTGTCAAGAACCTCCTCCCGCCAAAAATTCTGTGAATTTTTCTTTTGTCTGTAATTTAAAAATACTGTAAGAAGTCTCTCATTTTCTAGCTTTCATTTCTTCCTACTATCCACTTTTTCCCTCTCTTCCTCTCTTCTTTTTATAAAACATTGTGATTATCAGTGAACCATCTCACTCTTATGCTACATAGCAGCATCTAGCTTATTCAGTAGCCAAGATGGTTTCTGGCTCTCTGAGAAAGGCTGCTTCTGCAAATAATATATTGAATTCAGCACTTACGCAACACCGTTGCAAAACAAACATTTGTTGGCATATGATTGTCCATCACTTCCACAGTGAGGTACATATTCCATGGTGCATGCATTAGAGTAACCAGTGCATTCAACCTGTCCATGTCCAAAAAAAAAAGAAAGAAAAGAAAGAACAATTTCAGATTATTAAATCATAGAAAATTAATTTTTGAAAGACCTTGAAGGATTATTTAGTTCAGAATTCCATATGCAAAACAACATTTTCCAAAGTTTATATAACCTGACCTAACACTGGTGGGACGATCATCACAGCAAGGGATAGCTCAGTTCTGATTCAAGGCTTCCCTCTCACTCCTCTACATTTGAGTGACAAATACATCCTATAGATTCTATCTTGTACTTCATTTCCAAACTAGACCTCTCCTTACCAGACTGTCATTAACTTTAACTTGGCCCTCAATAGGTCCTGCCTACACATTTGCAATGATCTGTTAATGTATTCCCAGCCTCCATGCTTTATTGGGGATATCAGTCCTCCTCTACATTGATGTAGTGATTTTTCTTTCTTTCTTCTTCTTCTTCTTTTTTTTACAAATGAAAGTAGACCTTGTTCTTCAAATAATTAACTGACTTTCACATCAGCAGAAAGTCCCCTCAGAACCTGTGCTTATCTCTCCATTCTTATCTGCTCTGTAGGCCATTTAAGGACTCAATTCCCTGAGTGTCTCCTGCTCCTGAAAGTCCCTGTGACTTTGTTTATGGTGCTTTTCCTCTTACATGATCTTACCCACTTTGCCCCTCAACCCAGCTCCTGTTTCTCCTTTCAAGTCAGGTCACTGACTTTTATAAGTTTCATGATGTCATTTCTCTCTCCCACCCATGGAATTGGGCTAGGTACCCTTTTTTAAATTGAACTGTCTTATACATGTTAACAGTTCTCCTATCTTATTCTATTGACATCCCAGTCATATAATTTAATCCGCTAAATTATCTCTATATTTCTTTTGAATTTTTTGTGCCTTTACAAAATAACTTTCTTTACTGTTATGAGAATAATCTTGAATCCCTAATTCCCATGAACTCCTTCTCTTAATCTGCTAATAAGTTGCAGGGTTAGAAAATAAGCATGTGGCCCAACCAGCATGGCTCAGTGGTTGAGTGTTGACCTATAAACCTGGAGGTCACAGTTCGATTCCCAGTCAGGACACATGCCCAGGTTGCAGGTTCAATCTCATCATTGATGTTTTTATCTCTCTCTCCCTCTCCCTTCCTTTCTGAAATCAATAAAAATATATAAAAAAGAAAAGAAAAGAAGCACATGTATACCAGCCTGTCCCAATTAAGGGTTATGAGTAAAGTTTCCGAAATCCTTTTCTGGGTAAATATTTTAACTATACTTCAGGACATCTGTTTAGGCTGACCAAAGGTCTTACCTATGACCATACATGGTAGAGATAATTTCTAAATGACATATCTTAAAATAGTTTTTCCCATATGAAAATGAGGAATTAGTGTAACATTTTATATTAAGAACAAATAAAATTTCTGAATATACTTACACAACTCCCATCATGAAGTTTTCTGAGTGGAATTCCTTCTTCTCTGAAAGAGAAAATTTATCTATTGGGTAAAGCAGTTACTTGATATTTCATAATCTACAGAATAAAATACAGTCATATGTCATTCTGTGTTGTCCGACTGGGACCTAGAATGAGGGGTTCTAGTTAATATTCTACTCCAGTTGACTAACATTGACCATTAATATCTTTGTTCGGTAATAAAACATCCATCAAATAAAAACATAATAAAATAAGATCAGCACTAAAAGGACTATTAAAAAATAGTTCATGAATATTCAGATAAAAATCAAAGGAATAGTATAGTGTGAAAATATTTTTGCAGTTAATAAAAAATGCTCAAATCCATTTCTGACACTAGTGTGAGTAATTTTGTTACAGTTATTTCTCCTTTCCGAGTTAGATTCCTGACTTCTTTAAAGAGGATATGAGATATGAGATAATATAATCCATAAAATCTCCCAGTCTTTAAACTCCTATTGTTGTAGTAGTGTATGAGTTTGCATATCCTAAATATTATATACTGAATAACAATTGCTATTACACTTGACTGTACATTTCAGAAGGGTTAGAAAATGAGAGAAAATAAGGAAGAAAATCATGAAAGAAAGTAGAGCTCATTTCTATGTGTATTCACTCCATGTCTGCTGCTTAGCTAACGACTGAAATTCACAGTAAATTCTAAACACTATTATAATTTATATCTTACAGAAGAGAATATTGAAGTGTTTAGTGGATTGGTATTTACCTAGTGTTACAGATTAACTAAATGCAATTTGCTTTCTAATCCATATGTCTGATTTCAAAGCCCATTATTTTAACAACTAATCATAAATTAGTGAATTAAAATTGCTGGAAAGGCTGGTAACAACCCTTCCCCTAGAAGCTTAGAGGTTGTTTCCAGTGAGGAGTTAATATTGAACTTGTGGCAGTGGGAATTCCAACTGGTTCCCACTGCTCATTTGTACTTTCACTCTCTTCCCCAGACTTTTCCAGGCAACCATGAGAAGTAACATGAATTTCCTCTGGTGTATCGTGTCCATGGGTAACAGCCTACATAGAGAAAGCTATCTTCTGAGTTCCTTAGAGATATAGCTAATTTTTTAAAATTTTAACAAAGCAATGCCCAAAGAGAATGGACAAAAGGTAGGATTTGTCAAACCCTGTGTTTAGCAACCAAGCAGATTCCTGCCAATGTGGGTTTTGTGATCTTTAAAGGGGCTGGGGCTGAGCTCCAAATTGAATACCATACTTACTTTTTCATCATACAATACATGCATTCATTGGAGTAAGCTCTCTGATCGATGCCACATATTGGTTTAAGCTCCCTTGTGCATGGAAACCCCCTTCCGCCTTTGCTCTGGCCCAGGTATTTGGAGCAATCCACCTGTAATCAGAAGAAAAATAATGTCCTGCATTCTCTTTCTTCAATTCTCTAGTCATTCTCGTATCGAAATGGAAAGTAGAGAGTGGAAAGAGTGTCCAGAAAATATTCTATTGGACTAGGGCTGCACTACAAAAACTGATCAGACCTAGAACATCCTTAAGTAAAATAGAATTGGCTGTGTAAGCCCTGGCCAGGTAGCTCAGTTGATTAGAGCATCATCCTGATAAAAAAAAAAGTTGCAGGCTCAATCTCTAGTCAGGGCAACATAGAAGAATAAAACCCCCCACAAATAATTGGCTTTTTAAGAAGGAAGCATTAATCTCTCCTTTTAGAGTTATAATGCAAGTCCAAAGGCATAATTAATGTGAAAAAATAATCAAAAAAGTTTAAAATGCTACCAAAAAGTAAAATTTACTTTATCTGTCACTCCCCTTTTGCAAGGAGACTCCTTTTGCAATCTTTTAAGAAAGAAACACCACCAGGAAGAGAGGAGTAGGAATAGTATTAGCCGCTGAGGAATTATTTTAGCTTACTGTGAGCCAGTTTAGCTACTTCCCTAGCTCATTTGCACATTAGCTCTGATTTCGTTTGTGCAAAGACCACACGGCGAAGGCAGTACTCACCGCTGTCCCAATTGCTTGATCACCAAAAGAGAGGGGAAGGCGATGTAATTGGAGAGAAGGAATTGGAGAAAGCAAATTCCATGGTTAGAAATGCAAAACTGGATTCATTGTTCACAGTAAACTAAAACCACTTGTTGTAGTAAATATATAGAAATATTTTAAAATGCCAAAAATAACGTTAAAAGGGTTTTAAAACGTTTGAGTTAACTTCCCTGAAACTTAGTGTGATATTATTAAGGACACATTCCCCATTGCCCTGAAGTGTGTGTATTCTATTGACAAGGATTTGAACTTCAATTACTGACTTAGAGTGACTCGTCATGATGACCATGTCTGACAATGGATACTCCTCTCTCTCCCGAGAGTGTTCACAAGTTTGTCCACTAATATGCCCATTGGAACTATGTTACACTTGAGATCTTGTTATGCATTTTGTTTACCAAAATCCCCTCTGGACTGCCGTGGGTACTTCAGGCTATTTAAAGGGTCCCCAAATACCATTCATGTTGATCATGGCTTGATCCCTGGACACCTGGTGGTTACTGATCGCTTTGATCCCTGTGGTACACAGGTGGCTCCGATCACTGGAAGTTTATCATCGCTGATTGCCTTGAGTTTGAGTTTGGGTGCAGGCCCCTTCCCCACCTGCTTTGCTCCATTCCAGAAGACAGAGGAAAGGTGGGGTCTCAGATGGATCCATGCTGTACGTAGGGATTTCTGAAGGGAACACTGCCCTGAAACTGAAACTTCCTTCTTGAGCTGACCAGCCAGCCAGAGAAGGCGCCACTGCTGCCACTCTTTGGGAGCTCCCTGTAAGCCTGTACCCATGGCACCAGGAAATTTGTGAGTAACAGTGTACTGTGTGCTGATAAATTTTGTGCCCACTGCAATAATAAAAGGATAATAAATTGCTGTGTGAATTGCAACTGTAACTGTTTGTGTGGCATAATTTCCCCTGCAGTCATAAATATACCAATATAAGGTCAGATGAAATTGGCTGCCATGATCCTGCCAGCTCATAGTAGCCTTTTGCTGGCAACTGCTTTAAATGTCTGAGTACCGGCACAGATAAGTGATACCTCAGATAAATGCTCCTTTCTTTCTCAGACACCATTTCCCAACATCCCTTGCCCAGGCCAGACCTAAGAGTGGTCACTTCTTTGCTCAGGGCCAAAGTCATGGTGGAGACAGAGATGCATGTAATCTCTGGAGGGGAAACCATGGGGAAATCTCTTTGGAAGAAAAGCTATGAGTTCTTGTGGGCATACCCAGGGCAAGGCTGGATTATGGTCTCAAAATTTCACGACTGGTTTCTGAAAGGGCAAGTCAGAATCCTGAGGCATCCTGATCTGGAACTGGGTGAAGAGCCTACAATCTTTTTAATCTTCTCCATCTCTCTTCCTTTTTCTGAAGATCCAACCCTTCTCCCACTTTGTTAATCAGATCAATCCAAAGAGATACTTTCTAAATTTTCTTCTAACTCCACCATTCTACTATTAGTAAGGGCTGAATATATTGCACAAACATTTAAAAGGATTCGTAACTCACCAGGTGGAGAGACAGCCCATGTAGTGGCTGCTAGAGCAAGAACGGCAAAAGCAGTGATGGTCTTCATCATGGTGGTGAACGAGGGTGCTAGGGAAATGCTGTTTGGAGGCAACAAGTAAAGAAAGAGAGACAGGAAAAAACAACCTGCCTAACACACTCGTGTGTATATATAGTGCACATATGCAATGCAGGGTCCCACCTTCATTAAAAATTGACCTTTTCAATGATGATTGACTGTTTACCCAAGCTAGGGTATTTTTTTCATTTGTCAAGGAAAGCTTCCTTATTATCCTGATTTATAGACAGGAACAGTTACGCCCTGAAACTCATCTACCAAAGGTGTTTTACATAATAATCTTTTGATTTCTCAGCAAATACAATGGCATGACTATATTTGAGAACAAATATCATAGGTGTAGAAAGGAGAAATAAAAATTAAAGTGACATGTAAAGAGTATAAGTTTGGTAGACGATGAATTACTACTGGAATTAGTGCGGTGACCACATTGTAAGGTATAAAAATGTCAAATCACTATGTTATACGCCTGAAACTAATAAAACTTAATTATACTTAAATAAACCATTTAAAAGATTAAACTTGAAAGTTGAAATAGAAAGTTTAAAGCAACATTTCTTTAAAATGTACAATAGTAGCAACAGGAATAGATAGCATTATAATACCTTGATTTTTTAGAGTATGAAGAACTTTACAATATTGCATGAAAGTTTGTTAAATTATTAAAATAAACTGATGAATTTTATGGATCAGAAAGATTAAATGTATTCTGTTTAGCCCTAGCTGGCTTGGCTCAGTGGATAGAGAGTTAGCCTAAAGGGTACTGGGTTCAATTCCAGTCAAGGGCACAAGCCCTGGTTGCAGGCTCAACCCCTCCATAGAGAGCATGCAAGAGGCAGCCGATCAATGATTCTCTATCATCATTGATGTTTCTTACTCTCTCTTCCTCTTCCTTCCTTTCTGAAACAATAAAAATATATTTAAAAAATGCATTCTACTTAGTCACAGAGTTCATGATCAGGACAGCTAGTTCTACAAAATCCTAGGCCTTAACTTCTCTCCTAAAATATGTTTTTCCTTTATAGATATGCTACTTCAATAACTAAAATTGGCATTGAATAATCTGATTTTTAGCATTCTTTCTCATGCCTCTTAAGATTATAAGTATGATATTCTATTTAACACAATCCTATGAATATATGTATATATACATATACATATATATGTATATGTATATCCACATAATCACATTTTTTATTTTTACTTATTTATTTGTTTATTTATTTATTTATTTAATTTTTTATTTTATTGATTATGGAATCACATAATTTTCCTTATTCCCCCATTCCCATCCCAAACCCCTCCCTAGATATGCCCCCCCAACCCCCATTGTCCATGGCCACTGGCTAGGCCCATATGTATGCACACAAGTCCTTTGGTTGATCTCTTCCCCTTACCTCCATCCTCCCTTATTTCCCTCTGAGTTTTTTTTTTTTTTTAATATATTTTATTGATTTTACACAGAGGGGAATTGAGAGGGATAGAGAGTTAGAAACGTCAATGAGAGAGAAACATCGACCAGCTGTCTCTTGCACACCCCCCACTGGGTGTGCCTGCAACCAATGTACATGCCCCTGACCGGAATCGAACCCGGGACCTTTCAGCCGCAAGCTGATGCTCTATCCACTGAGCCAAACCGGTTTCGGCTCCTCTGAGGTTTGAGAGTCTGATTGCTGCTTCTCTTTCTCTAGGTCTGTTTATGTTGTTCATTATTTCCTCTAGATGTGTGAGATCATGTGATCCAAGAAATACCCTTGTAAGAACCTAAACTGCAACAAGCCATATGGTTATGCTGAGAGGCAAATGAATCAGTCTGTATAATACAGGCCCAATGATTTCCAATTACTTAGAAATGTATCCCTATTATCTCATATGGTCCTCACATCAGCTTTCCAGAAGATAGAGTTAAAATGGAGTAAATTCCCAAAGGACAAACTCAAAGATTAGAGGAGTTAAGCAAATTTCCAAAGCACACAGCTACTGAGTGATAGGATCTTGACCAAAACTGGATCTTCTAATTTCAGATCTTATGATCTCACAGCACTCACTGCATTTGTTTCTAACTTTTTAAGGAGTGTCTCTATCACTCATACTATTTATTTTCCAATACCATCTCTTTCCCTCAGGTAGAGTTGTATAATATTAGCAAATGCCATTGTGAAATTTGAATATTTACACCTCACCCATATATCAATGCTTCACCAATGTTTGAAATATGTGTAATACAATGAAATGCTCTCTAGAAGCTTTTCTGAATTGGATAAGTGATCTTCCTCCCAAGTTAGAGTGAAGCATCTCATTAGACTGACCATGTTCTAAGTAGATAGAAATCAGAACAATGGCTCACAGGATGTTAGAGCTGGTGGGGACCTGAACGGCATCTGGGTCTGAGATTTTCAAACTTTTCATTGCTGTTGTTTACTTAAAAAATGGAACATGTTTTTCCTCCCAAAGGTAATCTCGTGAGGCCAGTCATAAATGAAATAGATATTTTTAAAGGAAGTAACTTAAATAGAAGCCAAGATAGGATTCATGAATACCTACATTTTCTCTACAGACATCAAGGTTCCATGTAAATCCAGTTGAGAACTTCTAAACTAGACTCTAAAATAAAATAATAAAATAAAATATAATAAAATTAAAATAAAATAAAATAAAATAAAATAAAATAAAATAAAATAAAAGAGGAAGTGAGACCACTCAGTGAATCAGATCCCCTGAAACTGTACAAGATTCTTTCTAGTTTGCCATACTTTCTCACACCACCACCCACCCTTGTGTCAATATGGGATTCCTGCCTCTACTTACTTTCCCAAACAAGGTGAGGGAACATCTGCCACCTTGATCCTCGACTCAGTTCTCCACTACTATTGGACATCACCTTCTTGATATCCATAGCAGCTTCAAGGTCAACATTTCCCCCAGAAATCTTCATGCCAATTCACATTTTTAATGGCTTCTCTCCAGTTTCACTGTTAAGCTTTGTCAGTAGTAACCAATCCTGGAAAATGTAGGAGTTTTAATTCCTCTCTAATTTTAACATCCATATCTAATCTTCCACCAACTAGGTTTTATTTTGCATGTACCTTCTTCTCCAGAAAAAAATGTAAGTTTTAAAATATTTTGATATTTCCTTTTCCTTTTTTTTTTTTTAAATGCATAGTTCAAGAATAATTGTCTAGAAATCTACCTCTCATGTTCTTCCCTTTCTGGAAATTCTTGTAGGCATGACAGAGAAATTAATCATCCATAAACTCTAACAAGACTTCACTTTTCTTTTTTCCTTTTGTCACCTACTTAATAACTAAGGATTAAAAATCAGTATATAGAATTATGCTGGTCAGCATCATCACAATACACTGCTTAAATTAAAAGTCACTTTAAAGGACCCACACCCATTTATATTACCAGTTGCTTAATAGGCTCAAGATTTTTGTTTCAAAACAAATTGATTGGCTGTGATACTAGGGCAGCCAGACCTAAATGTGGGTAAGTACTGCCATGACTCCCTAGCAGTAGCCACTATGGTCCCCCACACAGTAGGTATGAGTTTCCATCAATAAATATAGATGTACAAGATTAACTAGCCCTTTTCTGTTTCTAAATAAAATTACATTTGATTCTGACCCCTCTACTCTGCCTGGATATAAGGAGATTGGGTCCCATTCAGTATTAGAGTTTATGAGGATCTAACATGGTCAATAAGTTATCAAAAAATGAGAGCAGGCCCTCTGATCTGGACAATCCTAGTTGTATCCTGCATCCTGGTGGACTAAAATAGCCATAAATGGTTCCCTTAATTGAGGTTGCTCCATGATTCTGTGCTAATAACTAAAATGGGTATTTAATAATCTGATTTAATCTGGGACAGGGTGACTTTTGAGTTTGAGAACCCCTGAATCTGAGCTTGAGAAACACGTTGTGAAACATGTTTTTAGTCACACACTCAGTATTTTGCCTTTTCAGGATGTGATCAAGCAGCAGTCTTGGTCAGTATTAGAACTCAGCCCCTTTCATGTTTCTTGAAAATTTTATCCCTTATGTTTTGTTTACTTTCAAAAGTATTCAAATTACAAAGTGTAATTCTTTCTTATAATTCATGCTTTTGTTCAGTTTAACTCAAATATCCTTTAAGTCAATTACACACTTTTTTTTCTGCTAGTTTTGTGATGCAGAGGAGATACATGAAAGACTAATTAATAGCTCTTAAATACTGCTTGCATTGTTGATGTTGTTATTACTTCTTGTTTAAAATATTGACATTAAAATTACTATCACAATTACATTCTTCTTTAGAATCTTAATTTGTACTTTTAGGTCAGTGCTAATCTGGGGTTAAGCAGTTCCTCCAGAATTCCTTTACTGGGCACTTAAAACTGGACTTATCCAACTGCCTACAAGTCTTCTGAGTGCATAGGAACAGTCTCTGGGTGGGGAAGGGTGGGCATTTCCTGCTTGATTCATCAATGTCTGTCATGTGACCAGAGACCTGGATATCCTTTGTGGACACAACTTGTCAATAATTCATTTTTAGAGACCTTGGCAATAATTCTGGCAATTTTCTCACTTAACATTTGAAGAGCAAAGAAGATGCAGAGATAAGAACATAATAAACTGGTGATTGTTCATTTTATCACTCCTCCCAGGGCTCCTTTCATGTAAGTCAAGGTATTGGAAGTCACTTTCACTATTAATCTCAGCAAGTGTACTATCATCCTGCCACATGTTCCATAGATTTGGAATTGAAATATTCCACAAACAGAAGTGACCATTTCTATAGATAATGAACAATTTTTTAGGATCACTGAATAAAAAATCAATTTATTTTGTCCAAAACCATAATCAGATAGATAATATTATTATTTGCATGAAGAGCAGAGGGACTGATGTAAGGAGAATGAGCTTAAAAAAATATATACTTAAATTTGTATTTCTGATTTATACCCATTTTGGGTAAGCTCAGAAAATTACGTGCCCTCTCCTGGCTTCAAGATTCCTCTATATTAAATATGCTGTATAAATAGTCTCTAATTTTCTTCTAACTCTGTCAGTCTAGGATTTTATCATCCTAAAAGGTTTTATCAACC